TGAAACTTCAAATAACCCCCATGGTGAAGACCAAACCTGGGTAGCATGGACCCAGATGACAAACTGAAGCGAATTGAGACTTGAATTGAGTCTCCCAAGGGTAAAGGTTGCTTGAATCTTTGAAGGGGTGGGGGGAAAGATGGGATTCCAGAGTGCTGTCAGATTCATGGGACAAGAGTCTCTTGTGCCAGGTGGTACCATATATTATGTATCACAGTCACCTGTGCCTTTCACTATTTTCAGCTGAGTAAATGCAAGAAAAAAAGGTGAGGGATGCAGATGAGCATACCTCACAAGTGCGCTTAGAGGCAGCAGTGTGAGCCAGCATGAAGTTCACTGCCTTCTCGGGCGCCCAATCGAATGCATGCAGTCCGGTGTCCACCACAAGACGGGATGCACGGAGCGCATCCATCGACAGCATCCCAAACCTGGAAAAAAGTAGACCCAGAGCAAGGTAATATTGGCACAGGTAGGTTGGTCCATTTCTTGGCCAATCAGTCACTGGCAGACTACAAAATTGTTAGAACATCTATTGCACAATCAGGTCTGAACATAGGGAGGGGAGACTTTTCATTCATTGGCTTTTCCCCTAACTTTTTCTTAATGGTCAGTCAACAGAGTATAACTTTAATGTAAAAAAATGTGGCATGGACAGTGAAAAATAGATCCTGAGATCAATTCTGCATTAGTTTATATGTAAGTACCAATCCAGAATGACAACTTTTTTAATACCAAATTTGAATTCTCCTCCATTCCACAGAAAAGCTAAGGGAAAATCCCTGTTTTTGGAAGTCAGGAAAAATTTCAAAGAATCAAGCAAAATATTTTTATTAAATGCAGCTCCATAGCATGTTTTTCATTCATGTAAGAGGATATGCAGATTAGTAAACCTAGTCAACCAAAATAAAACAATTAAAAAAATCAAAACAAGTTTTTTTGCTTCTAAAAAATAAGCAAAATTGGAATGAAAATGGAGATAAGAGACTCTGACCTATATGAAAGAAATGCATGCAAATCCTGACCTGTCTCATGAATTTCAGATGCTCAAGTTCTTACAACAGAGTATTACAACAAATTCCCTCCTTGAAATTCAGAGTTGCCAGCAATAAAGGTTACTAGGTACATGCCTATAATGGAAAAGCCTTTAATGGAAAAGCCAAAGCTCCCTTTGATCCTGAGATCAAAGGGAGCTTGCAATATGTAGCAGTAGCAGCTACTATTTCTACAAATCACAAGTTGCCACTGGAAGAAGTGGATTGGTTTTAACTCTACAAATAGGTGGAACAATCTTCAAGTTGTCCTGACACTCCACCATGAAAAGCATAAAAAATAAAGAGAAATTATCAAAAGCAACAGCCTTGAGGGTGGGGGAGAGGTTTAAACTCCCTGAACCACCTCTGGGTTGCACAACTGAATGAGATGAAAAGTCTGAGCAGGACTGTGAGCTTAAGCAGAAGATTTGGCCAGTGTATGGAATACTTACTGTATATGGGGAATACTGGGTAATTGGGAATACTAATATTGGCAGAAGTTTTGATTGAAAATTTATACCTTTATGATCCTTTGTTTTCTCTGCATTCTGCAAGATGAAGTCTTCTTCATTGCAGTCATTTATGGTTTGAAATAAGGTGTCAGAAGCCACACAACATAGGTCAATGGATTCAAATAATGGTTTTGTTGAAGCTAAGCACTGCATGTGCTCAGTTTCAATTGCAGCACCCAACTAGATAATTGGATTGGATAATGTGATTGGCTAACTTCATGCATCAGATATCCAGAGAATAACATCCCGTCTATAATATTTAGACATAGCCTAGGTCTGTTAAAGACTGCAAAGAATGTGGTTTTCTCAAGAAGAAACTGGCAACAAACTTCATGTAAGGGTCATCGTAGAGGTGGAGGTCATCACCAAGCCGCTCACTGTAGAGGCCCCAGCCCTCAATGTAAGCTGTGTAGAAGGTGAATCTGGATGGCATGATGCCGTAATGTCGATCCTCCAGGAATCTGCGGAATGCAGGAAGGCCCTCCATCTCGAGGAGGTGAGTGGTTTGCAGATGATGCCCTGGATTCCCCTCATGCAGGGCCAGGGCCACCATCTCAAATTTGGGCCTGGAAACCCCAACCATAGGGTCATATTTGTACTGCCTACAACTAGTTATCTTCTTGGCATATATGGTAATCCTTGATATAAAGAGTGGACTTATCACTTTATTCTAACCATATGTCTTTAGTCTAATCATATGGAGCCAAATTAGCATGAGATGTTAAAAAGTAAGAGTCATTATCACATGAAAGAAGGATGAGAGTGGAAAACTTATTCAATAATGAATTTAACCTATGATCGACAGAATTTAAACAATCATTTTTCACTCTCAATTGACTTAACATAAAAGCATGAAAAGCACTCTTAGCACACAGAGATCTCTGCAACCCATATACACATCCAATCACCTCCACATATACAAAATGTACACTATAACTTCTGAAGAAAACAAAGGACTCGTACTGTGATTTGTAATCAGTTGTGTTGACATAGCAGATCCCAGGTCGACTGCCATCATGTGATCCAGCAATGTAAAATGCAGCTGGTCCTTCACCCTCCAGAGAAGGCTTGATCCTACAGAAATGAATTTCATTTTTAATATTGGGATACTTTTTTCAGACTCTATCTACCACCCAAATATAAGATGGCACTGTGATAGTTCTGAGTAGTCATAATGATTTACCAAAATGATCATAACATATCATTTGTGGTCGAGACCAGTCTTGTAAAATCACCACAAGCAGGACATCAATACTGACAAGAGGTATAACATCATTATGACAATACCAGGCATAGATCACACTGACATCACTACCAACATTATAATTATGATATTTGCATTTCTCACCATTACCTGCTCATTCACATTACATTATGCTCCTGCATTGTTGTCAGAGGAAGAAACCAACTCCCACAAATGACATAATAATCTATCATCATCCTATCATTGTGAGATGCTTGTGGGAGATTTGTCCCAATTATTATTACTTTTTGAGACCTTGATGAGAACCTTGACAGGCTGCAGGATGTTGAATACGACAATGACAATGATGGCGTCATTAACTTCATTCCTGTAATGCTGTAGTAGAAGGTAGTACATCATCATCAAGTTTTACAGCATAATCATTAAGATCCTTTAGAGCTACCATACTATTGGACCTAATGTTTTCAGGAGATAGAATCCTAAGAATGTTTTATGAAATGTCCAAACAGAATCAATCTAATGTTCCAATAGTCCCCTATCACATACTGGAGAGGTAGGATGTAATTAAATCCTCTCCCTTGTGTCTATGCTACAGGTTAGGGAATCAAAAAGAAAGGGCTAACCATATATTTAGTACAAAATTCCCATCCTTCCTATATCTCCTTTGTTTGGAGTCTGATAAAATATAGAGGACAAATTGATTTGACTTCAAGATGGTGATACCCAAATTCATAGACAGACCCCTTTTTAAATATTCAATACAAGCAATTGTCCAGTAGCAATAGATTAGGGAACCTCTTCGCATCGAGGATATTTCCATCAAAGAGGAGACGATCGTGAATACGATAGGGAAGTTAAAGGCGGGCAAGGTGACCGGCCCCGATGGGATTCCC